TGTGACGGACTCAGCCGTCGGTCGCAAATGTTGCGACGGAAATCATAGTCCGTCGCAAAATTTGCGACGGACGGCTGAGTCCGTCGCAAAATTTGCAACGGAAATCTTAGTCCGTCGCAAATTTACAATGGATTTTTTTACGCCGAAAATTTCGAGCGGTAAAAATCTCATCGCAAAATCAACTATCCGTCGCAAATTTGCAACGGACTTTCTATATCGGTCGCAAATTTTGCGATCGACAAAAAATTTCCAGCAGAAATAAAAATTCGTCGCAAATTTGCGACATAAAAAAAATTCCGTTGCAAATTTGCGACGGATTAAATTATCCGTATACAATTTCGAACGGTACAAATTCTCTCGCAAAATTTGCGACGGATAGCTTCAGTCTGGCGCAAATATGCACATACTACATGAACGTTGTAAATTTGTGAATTTTTTTTTCGGTCAAAAATTTAGCATTTCATTTATTTGGGTCCTAAATTTGCTACATCTTTTTTTCAATCCAAAATTTAGGCATCTCAAATGTTGCAATAGAAATTAGAATATCGGAAATGTTAGGGCACGTTAATAATGTTAGACTTGTCGGCATTTAGGGACAAAATTTCGGACGATCAATTAAAATAAAAAGAATAATCGACAATAACAATAATAACAAGAACAATAATGATAACAACCAAAATAGCACCTGTAACATTAATAATTACACATCTGTAGTGTTTTGTGACAAAAATTTTAATCTTCGTCCTCGTCTTCGTCCTCGTCCTCGTCCTCGTCCTCGTCCTCGTCCTCGTCATCTGTCTGAAAATCAGATTCTGAACATTCTTGTACATTTAACTCGCAAATTTCAGTTGGCTCCACATCTATCATTGCTCCACACAGATCTCGTAAAGTTGGTATGTTATATTCCTCAATTTCAACCGTGTTAGACACTTCCTCCTGTTGGTAGGCTCTATCCGTCCAGTGTTCCTCGATTTTCCTCCGTGCTTTGATTTTACATACAGCCCACCAATCAGCTTTGTCACGTTTCAAACTAGGATATGATGCATAACATACTTGAATTGCTTGTTGTGCCAAGACAAATAGTTCATACTTCATATACCTTTTCTTTTGATTTATTTCAACCAAATTGAACTTCGTATGCACCTTCATTCCTTTGACGGGGTCGAACCACGTGCACTTAAATAACACAACCCGCATCTTTAATGGTCCAGGGTACTCTATTTCTATGATTTCATCCAACAAGCCATAAAAATCATCTTTCGAACTGTCACCATTGGATGACCGAACAGACACACCACTATTCATTGTGGATTTTCCCATTCCATATTCTTGAGTATGAAAATTATATCCATTTATGAAATATGCTGGCCAACTTCGAACTCTTAACTGTGGACCCCATGACAGATAATGTAGCAATCCTTGCCCTCCAATTTCATCATAATTACTGTGAACCTAAGGTTATACATGCAAAGTTAATAATATATATTTAACTAAATGATGTATATAATTTTAATAACGTGGTTTTGATCCATAGGCAACTTACATATGTCTTGAACCATGCTGCAAATTGTTCATCGCACAAACGGTCAAACTCATTTGGTTGTAGTACAAACATTGAAGTTTGGAAAATCCTAATATTAAAAACCATATCATTATTAGCAAATATTTGACACGCAAAACATATATTTACAAATTTACACTTACTTGAAGTATGGCTCGACTTCTGGACAGTTCAGTAAAATATAAGTATGGGCTGCATGAAGTTCTTCGCCTGATAAGTAACGAAACTGACATCCGCCGCTTGGTCGACCCAGATAATTGAAAATAGAGAATGCTGTGCAATTGGGATCAATGGGGCCCTCATCATTTCTGCCTGCTCTCCGCCTCTTGCATTGAACGTGCGGCTCAAAATAGTATGATGCAAATGTCGTCACTTCTTCCACAATATATGCATTACAAATTGAAGCTTCAACATGTGCCTTATTCTTCACTTTTTTCTTCAAATGATATAAGAATCTAGTTGAAATAGAAAGAAGCTTATCGGGACATATTATATGATAAACTCATTTGAACTGTATTTTAAAGAAAACATTACCTCTCAAATGGATACATCCATCGAAATTGGACGGGACCTGCAACTTTGGCCTCGTAAGGCAAGTGAACTAAGAGATGCTCCATCGAATCAAAAAACGCTGGAGGAAATATCCTTTCTAAGTTGCAAAGAATAATTGGAATATCTCTCTCTAGTTTTTCCATGTGCGATGCTTTTAACACTGTCGAGCAAATATCATGGAGGAAATTGCTTAATTCTGTAATGGCGCCCCATACAAAGTTCGGTAAAACTTCCTTCAAAGCTATTGGAATTAGTCTTTCCATCAGGATGTGACAATCATGACTCTTCAAACCTGTCAACTTGCATTCCTTCAAATCAACACATCTCCCGAGGTTCGAAGCATATCCATCAGGAAACCGCACAGATTTCAACCATTGACAAACAACTCGCCTCTGCTCCTTATCCAATGTATAAACTGCTTTCGGTTTTGGTCCCCTGCTACTTGCATCCACAGCTAGTATTGGCCGATCGTAAATATCTCTCATATCTTTTCTTGCGTTCAAGTTGTCTTTTGTTTTTCCGGCGACATCCATCACAGTATTTATGACATTGTCGAAAACATTCTTTTCTATGTGCATGACGTCAAGATTATGATGAATAAGATGGGCCTTCCAATATGGTAGATCCTAAAATATACTGCGTTTTGTCCACTTATCTGTACTTCCGTACTCAAAAGTCGTGCCGTGCGGGTTTTCAACAACAGTTGGAAAGTCCTGCACACGCTCTCAAATTTGATTGCCAGTCAACCTCAATGGTGGACGTGTTCTTTCAGTCCTATTCTTGCTGAACTCTTTCTTATTCCTTCTGAAAGGATGACTTGGCGGTAAAAATTGTCTGTGACAGTCAAAATAGCTAGGCTTCTTTCCATGTTTTAATCTAAATGACTTTGTCCTCTCCAAACATATCGGACATCCTAAGATCCCAGCTGTACTCCATCCAGATAACATTCCGTAAGCTGGAAAGTCATTTATCGTCCAAAGAAGGGCAGCCTTCATAACAAATGTTTGATCGGTAGAAACGTCATACGTAGGGACACCTTCAACCCATAGCCGTTGTAACTCCTCAATCAATGGTTGCATATAAACATCTATCAACTTTTTCGGATTTTGCGACCCTGTCACGATCAATGTCAAAAACATATAAGGTGTCTTCATGCACATACCAGGTGGAAGATTGTACGGCGTTAAGATAACTGGCTAGCATGAATAACTTTTTCCTGTTCTCCCAAATGGAGCAAATCCATCGGCACAGAGACCTAACCTAATGTTCCGAGGCTCCATTGCAAACTTAGGGTATGTTCTATCAAAATGTTGCCATGCCTCTGCATCTGAAGGATGACACATTAGACCCTCTTCTGTTTCATGATTTGCATGCCAAGTCATGTGTTCAGCAGTGGCTTTAGACGCATAAAGCCTTTGCAATCTGGGGATTAAGGGCAGATAAAACATTTGCTTGCATGGTTTACGCTTCTGATTACGACCCGGCCTCCTGTTAATCTTGTACCTAGGTTGACTACAGAATTTGCAAGATTCTGCATTTTCATCATCTCTCCAATATATCATACAACCCCTACTACATACATCAATCCTTACAACCGGAAGACCTAAGTTATCCACTAGCTTTTTCATATCATAAAAATCACTTGGCATGTTGTTATCACGAGGCAATGATTCCCGCATTACTTCAACAAAAGAGTTGAAGCAATCCGCAGACACATTATGCTCTGCCTTGATATTTAATAGTCGGGCTGTCATCAATAACTTAGTGTGGTCCTCACAACCTGTCCATAGAGGTTCATCTGCTGCTTTCAAGACATCCCAGAACTGATTAGATTGAAAAGTTTCATTATACACATTCTCCTCAAAACCCGTTACTCCTATATCTTCCAATTGTGAAGCATGACTAGTACCCACTTGTTCACGTGTAGGAGTAAAACTAGTACTTGCATGATTTGCTTCCGTGACAAAATTATAACTAGCTGCATCAATCACCATCCTCTCGTATGGGTTCAATTGCTCATAATAGCCACATTCTTCCCTAACTGAAAATTGGTCACTTCTTCCATATCCTTCATCAGATATAAATGGTTCACCATGGGAAGTTCAATTATAATAGTTTGGAGTAAACCCAAATCTAATAAGGTGTTCTCTAACTTGATCACACACAAGAAATTTATCATTACCGCACTTTTTACACGGACACCTTAACTTATTTCCATCCATAAACTCATATTTACTACTAGCAAAGTCTAAAAATAGTTCCAATCCAGTACGAAACTCATCTGTCAATCCTTGACGTCCAGGTAAGTTCTTATTATACATCCAAGCCCTTTCTCTTTGCATTGTGTCTGTATTAAAATAAAAAATTCTGGTAAAATATTTAAAATATCATATCTATTGTTGTTAATTAAAACCATAAAATTTTGGAAATTATAATTTATGTTATTCACGCAACAATTAATATCAAATTGCAAAAATAGAAAAAACTACAATGTAAAGAAGACTTACCCAAATATTTGACTGAAATATTTGTAGGAGAAAGTGATCAATTTGATGAGAATTGCAACGTCCACTTGGATTGCGAGACCTTCAATTAGGCACATACCCAAAAAAGAATAATCACTTAAGAATCATTTTTTAATAATTTTTAATGTGCGATGGAAACGGAATGTATCCGTCGCAAATTTGCGACGGAATTAGTTTTGCGTCGCAAATTTCCGACGGATACTCAACTCCGTCGCAATTTGCGACGGAATTTTCATTTATTCCGTTAGCAAAGGTGAGTGGACTTTGGATTGTGGATCTTGGGAAATCTTGCATGTTGGCTCGTAAGTTGTTGCAAAAAGAAGAATTATTTGGGCTTTTAATTTTTGAAGCATAAACTCATCTCTACAGCCACCTGTCTTTGTTATAGTGGGATTCTTGAAGATCACAATTTTCTTTTCAAATTTCACTCGAATCCTTAGCCCCATGGTTCTTGAGAAGAGGAAGACATAATTGGCGAGATGGGTTTTTGAGAGTTCACGCTTTTAAGAGAAGCGCACATGGCCAGGCTCCTCGTCGATTCGAGATTTGGACAAGAGTATGAAGGCGCCTTGGCCCGGTGTTCCACCGTTTGTGACCAGCTTGAGATTGGTTCACCAATTTCCTCAGTTTTGTCAGAATTAAGGCAATCGAATTGTCGATCGATGTCCGTATTCATCTTCCGCATCATGACCAGGTGATTCTTGTAAATCGCTTTCTGGTGAATTGCTTCTCTCCGCTATCATCGCTGCTCTTATATTTATGAATAGGATTGGGCTGGGATCATCACCAAGCTTGTCACCACTATCACTGTTGCTGTGAACGTGAGTTTTTGAGTGAGCTCAAGGCCGAGCTCGCCCTCCTCTGCATCGCCAAGGTCATCGGTGGTGCGCCAAACAAGCTATCCAAGAGGTATGTCACTGTTTTCACTTGATTTTTACGATTTGGAGGTCTTGGTTAGCGCTTTATATTTTTGGTAGATGGTAATGTTAGATTTGGGATGATTATCAGCTTTGGTTATGCTGGTTGAAAGAGTCATGCACTCAACGTCAACCAACTTATTAATGACTGTAATCCCATAAGCACTGACCATGAACAAGATTGCTAGAGCTTCCAAAAAGAGGTCACCACGCCATATCAAGCTCTTTAATAAACAATATGACCAGAAAACGTTACATAAGCATTAATATGTTGTCTGCTTGTTAAAGTGGTTGTATAGGTCAATCATCTTAGCATGAGTCTCGCACTTATTCGAGTGTCATTCATCGTCAGTAGCGAGATAGTTAGCTAAGCGATGACCATATTAAAATCTGCACTACCTACTGATATCTAAAGGACTCGAACCAGTTTGTTTCAATGGGACAAAGTACTAGATAGAAGCTACAACAACATTGAACCCACCGGAAAGAAATGATACTTAATTGCTATCGATCGGTATTAAGTGATAAGAGAGAGACCAGTGTCACAGGGAAAGTCAAAATATCTAGTGAGGACGACCCTATCCTGTTGGCCTCATAGCCAGAGCTTCATTCCCGCTGATTTGTGCTTTCTGCCGTCTCCGTCCTATAATGTCTTCATCCTGCTTTCAGACGAAGATCTCCAGTTCCCGCCACAGCAAAGCTCTCTCTATATCGTGCCTTTAGCTCCGCGATTTCAGCTTCGATCAATCTTGATTTTGGTTACATTCAGTCGAAACTTCTCCATCGAACAATTGGATTACGGCAACATGATTAAAGCTAAGTTCTCTCTCATTCTCCGACTCTCATTTTTCTATTCACTCTATAGCATTGATCCTCGGTCTTTTCCTGAACTGCCAGAAGCTTCTTCACCAATCTTCCTTCTCTATCACCCCCCTAACACCGAAAGCCACCGCTGATTGTCACCATTCGCCGCTCCAGAGTCCCATTGATTGTTCCTCTGTTTTACTGTTTTTTCTTGTCAGAGACTTCGAAGAGCTTGGCTCCTGCTCGTTTCTTCTTCGCCAACGTCGATCACCAGAAATGACACCTCCAAGACATCAGCTACTTAGTTTGATCATCCTTTGAAATCAACATCTGCATCTCCAAGATAAGTACCTCTCTATACTCTTTTCTTGGAGAAACAAAGACGAGAAGTCTTAACTATTGGTTCCCTCAAGATTATCTGCCATTGAGTTCCTGTTTGTGATTTGAGCATGATTCATTACATATGTGATGAATGCAATATGGATTATGGCTTCAATGAGTTCCCTGGTTGATGAAGATTTTTTATGATGAACAATGATGAACAGAGCTAGGTGAATGTTGAACAATGCAAAGATATGATCATGTCTCTGTTGGATGTTGGAAAGAAAGAATAAATGAAAGAGGCAAAGGGAAATCAAGCGAAGTATGAGTTCATGATGTGAGCTGCTTTACCGAGAAACTTCTTATTCAAAAAGAAATTGAATTTCCCAAGAAATTTTTGTCTACTTATCCTCATTGAAAATTCATCATTATAATTCTTTTTTGTCCTCATCCACATTAGCATAGATTACAATATTCATATTGTGTATAAATACTCTAAATACCTTACAAAGCCATCCATTTTTACTAGATACCCATTACCTTATAATTATTTCCCTAATTGTCACTCGCAACTGCCTCCATCCATCACCGTGGACCCCATTGTTCCTTTGCAGCTCTATCTCCCTCGCCACAGACCTCCACTTGGTGTATTTACCAAAAACTGACCCATCTCCTACCGCGTCCGCCCCTGCCGTTTCTGATATTATCGTGTAGAAGAACACCTACATGATGCTCGCAATCACCGCGGAGAAGAGAAGGCCCGGTCAATGGCAATCACCTTATAAATTGATAAGGACGTCATTGATAACACTCCACTCACCACTCGGTTCAAGGCAACGTCGATTGCATACCCTGCAGACGTAGACTTAGCAAGAAGATCTTTGAGCTATACACAAATATGATTGGCCCCATCCCAATCGAGAAGAAGATCGCGTATGACAACACTGAGACAATGCACATGGCCATGCTCACATGAGCTTATATTCCGAGAGAGGCCAGCAAGAAGATCGTCCCACCGGCGCTGCTTCTCAACAACAGTCGGCTCCCCACCCGGTCAAGGTTGAAGATTGCAATGAGGATGATCATTGTCTTTATGAAGCCGACTACAATGATTTTAACGTGAGGAGCTTTTTGTTGAAGGAAGTAATGTTGGCTTTCTCGAAAATGCGAGGGCTATAGAGGACGACGGCATCGATGCCAGAGGCATTTTAGAAGAATTGGATCCCAACGATATAGACAAGGATGTGGCGAATGGACAGGGTTGGGTGGAGGAGGAGCTCCCGCCATACACCCTCTTTGATGCTCTGTTTGGTGACCTTGACAACGTCGTCGTTGCACTCATCAGGTGTTTTAATAAAGGGACATTTCTCCAAACTCTAGAAAGATGGATTGAGGAGTTTGCATAGATGACGCATTAACAAATCCCTGAGGAATGCAATGACGACATTGTCAAAGTCTACCATTGGGGACGGTGTGTGGCGGGATCTCATCCTCCATATGACCTTGTTTGTCCGCCGCATCCTTATTTACGTCGTTTGAATCCACTTCTTTCAGTAGGTCACTTGGTATCGATGCTATCATCCTCTACAGTGCTTGCATTTTCGAGAAGGCCAACATGACCTCCTACAACAAAAAGCTCCTTGCGCCATTGCAGTCGGCTTTGAAAAGAGAGTGCTCTTCCTCATCACCACCTTCCTCGACATAGGTTGGGCGGTAGCCGTTGCTACTGAACAGTGTCAACGGGATGATCTTCTCACTCGCCTCCCTCAGAATGCGCCTCACATCAACGACCATAACCACATGAAACTCATATGGGCGGTGGCCATATGTATTGCCTCGGTGTTGTACTACGTAGCATTCCTCTCTATTAGGATGGGGCCGATCACGTGGGTGTACACCTCAGGGATCTTCCCGCAAAGCCTATGTGCAGAGGGGTGTGTAATCGGAGTGGCGGTGAATGGGATGGTGAGTGGGGTATTCTATATGATGTCTTATCGCTGTACAACGCGACCACCATTGATGGGGCCTTCTACTTGTTTGCATAGATCATGAGCGTCGCGGAGACTTTTTCTACACAATGATGTCAGAAACAGAGGGGTGAACGGTGGAGGAGATGGGACAGTTTTTCGGTAAATACACCTAGTGTAGGTCTGTGGCGAGGGAGATAGAGATGCAAAGGATTAATGGAGTAGACGGTGACATGATGTAGACAGCAGCGAGGGGCGGTTAGGGAAATGATTATAAGGTTGGGGGTATGTGGTAAAAAATAGTTGACTTTGTGAGAGTGTTTAGAGTAATTATACTTGACATGAAATTGAACAAAGCAGAATTACTATAATTGAATTTTCAAAGAAAAAAAGAAAATGTGTATGGAACATGCGCGACACACTTGTGCCACATCTGCGACACAAGGAAATTTTGGCGAGGCCAAGGAAAAGGGAGCGTTACTTAATTGAAGATCGAAAATAAAAGCTTAATATTGGTTTTTAGTGATATAACTAGAAAGTTCGATTTATGCATCGACCTCTTTCAAGTAAAGGCAAAGTTCAGCGAGCAACCAAATATGGTGAGTCGACATCGACAATTACTGTGTGAGTGATATTCTATCTACGAGGATGTTGATTTTCTAGTTCAAGCAAAACAAAAAGGAATGCTAATTTTCCAATCATAATAGTGAAAGGGAAACAAGCTTTGTCTCATTTGGTGGGATCTTCTGGTTGTGTCGGTTCCCTTTATTTGCATTTAACACCTCAGAAGCTCTCAAGCAGATAAAGAGACACCCAAAAGAAATCTAACTCGACAAAACTCTGCCTAATTGTACTTCACCAAGCATGTGAGCAGAAAAACTTAACCGTCAGAGAAAGAAACGGGTGTCGTCAACTTGGTCATTTCTGCTGAGAGAATCTCTAGGATATCTAAAGCTATTGCCCTGTTTTTCCCCTCTGCTTCGCTCGCTCTGCCCAAAAGCACAGAAGAACCAATCAAATGGACGTGGAAGAACAGAAACAGCATTTGGAGTCACCCCTGTTGGCAGTTTCCCAGGAGAAGAAGGCGTCCACATCAGGGAATGGATTCAAGAAAGACGAGATTTTCTTGGAAATGAAGCGACAACTATCATTGGCCAGGCCATTGGTATTGGTGAATCTGATGATATATTGTTTGCAGGTGATCTCGGTGTCGTTTGTGGGTCATTTTGGAGAGCTGGCACTTTCCAGTGCTTTCGTGGCCACGTCCTTCGCTTCTGTGACTGGCTTTAGCATGTTGGTAAGATACCACAATTCTTCCTGTTTTCATCTTGAGATAAACCAACAAAGAGACAAAAGATTTTAAGAATCTGAAAGTAGCACCATACTATGTCACTTCTATGAAAGTTTTCTTCCAGGATGTTATTTATCTTGAAAGATGTCTTGTGCCACTTCTATTATTGACATGATTATAGGAGTTCTTTTTCCTGTTGAATAAACAGAGTCTAGCAATTGTTGGATCAATTAAGACTGCGTGCGCTCTAGTTTTCCAATTACCATGAATAGATCGCTTGTCTAAACCTTAGCTCCTTATCAGATTATTGCAGTTTGACAAAGATTGATCTACTGGACATGTTATCTCTCAATAAGCTCAGTGCGCCAAATGTGTCACTTTCTCCCCTCTAGCTAGGTTTAGCAATGCTGAGATTGGAAACTCAATGCTGGTGTTTGTCACATATTAGGATATTTGTTAACTGCACTTAAAGAAGATTATTGGGGACCCCAGTCCGAAAATGAAATAGATAAAACAATTATTTTGTTCAGATTCTTCCGCTGGATATAGGTTGAGTGAACTATGGCAAAACAATCATGATGCTCCAAGCAAGGCCTCATTTGGGTTCCTAGGATATAGTGACAAACTTCTTCAGTTTCATTTTATGACATCTAAGAATTGCACCATCTTATAGATGCTTGGTCCATAACAGATAGGAATGGCAAGTGCATTGGATACATTTTGCGGTCAGTCTTATGGAGCTAAGCAATACCACATGCTTGGTATCCACAAGCAGAGCGCCATGATCGTTCTCCTATTAGATTTGGTCATTCGAAATGATTGTCTTATTATCAGGACTTCTTCCCAACCCAAAAAACTTGAAACGTCGGTCCTCTCAATCTGGTCCATCTGTAGTTTGTATCAACTAGAAGCGAACAAAATTGCTAACCTCTTGGCACCAGTTGCTATCATTTTTAAACAATGTAAAATTAATATCTTCTGCTTGTTTCAGCCTCAACACCAGCTCCTTGGTTTGCATGATACCTCTAGGACTCAGTGGTTCAATAATGTAATCCTAACTGGTTAAGCTTTATTTACTTCAGTAGATCTTGCAAAGCAGCAGCTATAGTACAGTCTCACACTTTCTTGGCCTTATTTTGGTAGCACGAGAGTTTCAAATGAATTGGGTGCTGGAAGACCACGAGCAGCTCGTTTGGCAATTTATGTTTCCTTAATGATGGTTGCCATGGAAGGCTTGCTTGCTGGTACTCTCATGATCTTCAGTCGAAGGGCATGGGGCTACCTCTATAGCACAGAAGAAGTTGTGAACTATGTGGGAGATATGCTGGTACTAATCGCAACTTCCCATTTTCTTGGTGACATTCAGTCTGTGTTTTCAGGTATACTTTGCTTATTATTGCAGTTTAATGGTGCACCTGACCTAGTTTAACATTGACTAATCTTCCTGATAATTAGGGAGGGAAGTTGGAGAATGAGTCAAATCTCAAATATGTTAAAGTCAAAACCGACCTGTACTTCAACTGTTTTGATGCTACAAGACAGTTTTTTCAGGCACTGCAAGTGTGACATTCCGAATTTCGGCCCATTTTTGGGATTTATAAAACGTGTAATTTGTCAGTGTGCTTATAGTAAAATCTCGCCCGAGAACTGATCACTCTCGGTTATTATTTTTAAATTAGAGATTTCGCTAGAATCGCACTCGATCGAATTTGACCGTTATTTAGACCTCGAACTTGGCAGTCGATTTTCGGAAGTTTCGGGACGAAATAAATTGGACGGTGTCGATATTGTTGTGGCCAGCGTTGAGATTGTCAGGAATGATGGAAAAAGGGGAGTTTTTGACCACGTGCGAATTTGGACTAGTAGACCTCCCTCGTTATGATTTGGTCTAATTAATTTGGCCTTTGTCCCTTTTTATGTGCGAGGCTTATTTTGGA